TAGTGTTGAAGTAGTTTCCAAATCACTTCTCGGTCAACGCTCCGTGTCAACGGCCTTTCCGAAGTCGAATTAGGGAGAGGTCTGACTGCCATTCTATGCTTTGTTCTGTGATGACGATGCGTAGAATTGCAATTTGAACAGCACATGATTGCCCCCTCCTGAATCCAACTTGTTCCCGTGGTTGGCGGAGTTCTGTATCCGGTGCATCCTTTATCCTCTCTAGGATGATGCGACATAGCATTTTACTCGGCTTGGACAAGAGCATTATTCCACGCTAGTTCTTGCAGAGTGAGGCCTAAGTCACCCTTCTTTCGTAGCTTGACAAGGTAGCCAGCCTTTTTTCCAATCGGCAGGCACCTTTCCTTCTTTCCAAACACTTTGCAATAATGCCGTCAGCATCTCAGCCGCAGTCTCTGGGTTCGCTTCCAGTGGAATGCTGTTGCCTTCTCACCTGGACTTCAGTAGCTTGATCGCATTCAGGATTTTTTTTCGTCGGAGGATTGGTGTCCACTAATAGCCAGCTCTTTGCTGTTGTAGTAGTAGTATTTGTGAGAGAGTTTCAGGCGATGGTCGATTCAAGAGTCCTTTAAAGTGATCAGCCCATTGTTTGATTTGTCTCTCCTCCTTGGTAATCAGATTCCCTTGACCATCTTCTATTGGCTTCATCTCTTCCCCGGTAGAGATCTGGTTATCTGGTATAATGTCCTGAGGTCTCCTTTACATGAGGCCCACCTGTTTTGCTTCAGTTGCTGATCAGTGTGTCGTAGAATTGTCGTTTGTCTTTCCTAGCACTCTTCTTTACTGCTTTATTCAGTGCAGTGTACATTGAACTCAGCTTCTCCTTCTGTTGCTCATATTTGCATTGAGTTATCTTCTGTTTCACCATCTTCCTATTCTCCCGGAAAGCACGATCAATGCACTAAATGATCTAGTGAAATTGAGGTGTGGGATTGCTAAACACTCTGCGCGACGTGATTTTTTGAAGGAATGTATCCAGACTAATATTTATCCTCGGACATTTTACAAATCCTTGCGTACAGATCATTTGAGACCTACACGGCCAAATCTTTACCGTCTTGCTGAATCACATTTGTCTTCCGGCACAGATGAAATCAGTAATTTATGCGTATTATCAAGCAAACTAATCAGTGTACAAAATGACTTAAATTTCGTATGTTATCTTAAATTCACTAAATATCTGCATGCCACTGCTAAAAAGACAAAAGAATCAGAAGAAAAGAAACTGAAAAAGTCACTTCATCCGGAACCGCCAAATGAAATTTTCCCAGTGGATATATCTAATTATGTTCACAATTTATCTGATGTTTCCCTATAAAAAGAACAAGTAGAAATTCTGTCATTGGGATTCAACTTCTGTGTTCCCATGAAAAACATAAAGCAAATTGACATCGAATGCCAATTCGAAAATCTTTATGATCAACTTATGGGGCTACATGCCACGTCCAACAACAGCGAAAGCTGGTTGAAAGCAAAGATGGTTGATATTGCTCACCAATTTCGAATCATGCCAACGAATCAAAATTCGCACATCACCAAAGAACACTGGAGATCACTAAACAAGCTCTGAAAAGACAATAATCTTGTTATTCTACAAGCTGACAAAGGACAAAGCATAGTGCTAATGAATAAGATAGATTATTTCGAAAAAATGCATCAAATTCTCTCCGATGAATCTAAATTCAAATTGGACAATGAAGCAAAAGATCAAACGTTGTCGATCGAAAAGAAAATTGTACAGCAGCTACGCCAACTATTCAAAAATAAATACATTGATGAAAACACATATAGAAATATCAAGCCGATCGGGTCACAAATCCCAAAACTATATGGGCGTGTTAAAATACACAAACCAGGAGCGCCATTAAGACCCATACTCTCGATGATAAACTCACCATACCACAAATTAGCACAGTGGTTATGTGAAATGTTGCAGCCCCTGCGGAAACGCTTCGGGAAGTATATCGTTTCTGATTCATTCCAGTTTGTCGAGCAAATCAAAGATTTCAATGTATCTGATAAACATTTAGTCTCTTTCGATGTTACCTCCCTGTTCAAAAATGTGCCGGTCATTGAGACTATAGACTTCATATGTGAAGAAGCTGAAGACATACCCATTCCAACGTCGGAATTGAGGAAATCGCTACTTTTATGTACTAAAAATGTCCAATTCCAATTCGACGGGCGTTTATTCCGTCAAGTTGATGGTGTCGCAATGGGAAGCCCCTTGGGACCACTTTTCGTTAACTTATTCTTGTCACGCCTAGAAACCGGTACCCTGCAACAACATATACAAGAAACGGATCTATACCTAAGACATGTTGATGACATTTTTATTGCCTGTGGAAGCAGATCAAAAGCCGAAGACATGCTGATAAAATTCAACTCATGCCATCCAAATCTCAATTTCACAGTAGAACAAAAGGAAAATGATACTATCAAATTCCTAGACGTTTTTCTGGTGAAAATGAATGATGGCACAATCGAAAGATCTATATTTAGAAAGTCCTCATGGACAGGACAGGACATGCATTTCAAGAGTTTTGTTCCAATCCAGTACAAAAAGAACTTAGTCAGAACACTGTTCAATAGAGCACGAAAAATTTGTTCTGACAGTACTGCTGAGTATGAAATAAAATCCCTGAAGGATATCTTATCTAAGAATGGATATCCTGAGAAGTTCATTAATAAATACTCTAAAGAAAACACCCGCTGCAAAATAATCCAAACAGTTCCAAAGAAACCTGTCTTAATCAACTTGCCGTTCAAAGGAGATGATGTACAGGAAGTAGTCAAACGAAGACCCGACAAAGCCATCAAGAGAACTTATTATGCTGCAAAACTTGTTTTCCTTAACACCACTAAGCGAGTGCTTCAACAATCTGGGAAAGACCAGTCGCCAATCCTCGACACTTCAAACTGCGTATATCAATTTGAGTGTGTTTGTGGAAGCAAATGCATAGGTCGTACGGAAAGGAGATTGTCTACTCGCATGATGGAGCATTTGCCAAAATGGTTGAAAACAGCTGAGTTCAAAGTGCCAAAATCCTCAATAACAAAGCATCTTGTGGATTACGGGCATGATATCGACGCAGTCAAGTAATTCACCATTGTCAGCAGACAAAGAAACAAGAAGATGCTTGCAATCGCAGAGGCTTTTGCAATTCGAGTTAATAAACCAGGTCTCTGTGAACAAAAGGAGATGGTCGTGACTGTGAATCTACGATGGTAATACGTTTTACTTATAATTCTACCTCTCATTATTATTATTTTATTATTACTATTATTATTCTTGATTCATTTAAAACTATCCTTTATCAGTAGCATTATCTTAACTCACTTCAACACTATTATTATTGTTATTATAACTATTACTATTGACATCCCTCTGGTTGCAATTCTTGTTAAATTCTCTAATGTCTAATTGTTTATCTAAGTGATGTAATTGAAGCGTAATGCAATTTATCTTAATTTTGATCTCCCATACTCTCTCTCCCCTTATCTAATTGAACATGACCTGGAAAAACATTCGCACCTGTCTTTCTGTGTGACTAATTCAATGTAGTTTGTTTACTTATCAGTCCTATATCTCCCAATGTAATTTCAAAAGTATATATATCGATGTATGTAAAGTATTCAGTCCTATATCTCCCAATGTAACTTCAAAAGTATATATCCGTGTATGTAGAGTATTCAGCTGACGAGTTCTACCGAAATTTGATGAATTCATTAAATCCTGCTTTATTAACCTTTATTGCTTGTTTTATATTCTCCATTAGCTTCCAGGCAGGTGTCCGTTGAGATCATTCCTTGTCTTGTCTCTTCTTTCTTCCCAGAACAGAATATCACACTTCCCTTCGTTTTTATATGCATCTTGACTTCAACTCATTCAATAAATTATCCATCTTATCACGTAACTGTGATACCTGTATTCAACTCCTCTTATGCACTGATTAATATTCACAACTATGAAATTGTTGCAATGAGAATTTCCTATGTCAAGAACTAATTATTTCGTCTGAAAATTCTGTACGAAGAGTTGATGTTTATAAAATAAATGACTCATGAGAAAAAGCTTGACAAACCAAGCGCTTACATTCACCTAAGTATACACATTTTAATAAATGACTTGTGATCCCAGAAGGGACAAACAATCTAAAGCGTACATGTATACTAAAATGTTGAAGTCTACTTTCTTGGATATACTGTTAAAGAATAGATAAAGACATTTTAAAAGCCCTTTTTATAAAACCTAACTTTGAATAAATGAGCAAGACTATTTTTAACCTCAAGTTTCAACACTCCTAAAATTGACCTTTAGGCCACGAACACCCCGCACTGTAGATTGTCCACATCAGTAGACCTCGTTAAATAAACAGTAACGCTTTCATCAAATGCAACACTTAAGTACACATTTGTTTGACTGTCAAGAAAATGCGTGTAAGTCACAATTCAAAGCATTTGTAATAAATCCCTTCAGCTACGAAGCAGAGTGCAGCAGGTCGGGTGTGAGGACAAATACTCGCCGAAGACATTGGCTAGCGATCGCGCTATGTCGCGAATTGGCAGAAGTTGCAATCCATGGGCCATTAGATCGGGTCCCAGTGGCTTAATTGTCTACGAGCTCACTGGCCCTGTAACCAGAAGGTCCTGGGTTCGAACCCCACAGTGTGGGTGCGCACTGATGAAGAGTCCCAAACTAGTAGGACGAAACAGCTGTCCAGTACTACCAAGCTTATCCAATGGTTCTCTAACCGATGTCAGCTCATGATGAAATCCTGTAACCAATCAATCAAATCCCTACAAACCAATACTTGAGAAGCATTCTTTTATTAATTCCCGATAACTTTGCTATCCAAATGAAAAAATTCATTGATAACACCCTCTAGATTTACGAAAAGCCGTTCGATATAAAAGATTCCTAGCTAACATTACTTGTATGAGATAATAAGAACCTTGTTTTTACCAGCCTCATTTTCACAATCCCCAACGGCGACAACAACAACAACAAAAACACAAGTATAACACCGAGACGAATCGAAGGCTTTTTTGAATGCAGTCAAAATGGCAATAGATGGAAAATATATTGAGGTGACACATTAAATCTTTATGGAATTATAATTGTTACATGTCATATATATATATATATATATATATATATATATATATATATATATTGGTAAATATTGGGTTCTTTTGACCGTTGATCTCGGAAGACATCTAAAAGCGCCTGATAATACAAATGTAGCTATACACACACACACGCAAAAGAAAACAAAACACGGAAAGCATCGAAAGAGATGAGGAATATCGTCAGTCATAGTGACAATAATAATAAGAGTAATAATAGTAGTAGTAATAATAAATGAAGGAATTTGTATATAATTTTCAACAGAAAGCACCAATAAGCTAACTTATAATGATGATGATTATTTTGTTTTCTACCGGAATGGCAAAAGAGATTCCATGAAGGTTAACTAGGTGAACACAGAAGTATCAATGAATGTATCATAGGATATATATATAGAGAGAGAAAGCGAGACTTGATATTCATTGTTAAATCTAAATGAATAAACAATATCATATATAATAAATGGATTCATTGTCAAAATAAGAACAATATATATCACAATATCGATTTCTGCTCAGTTTCCTTATTTTCAAGTTCAGCATTTTTAATATCATCAACATCATCAGCGGAAATGACAAAGCAGTGAGTGCATCAGTAAGTCTTTCGGCAGAATTCATTTGTAATGCAGAGGATACATAAATAGATCTAACCATCAAAAACCAGCATACAATGGTAGAAGAAAGCAGCGGTTTCACACACACATGCACAACAAATAAGGATGAATAAAAGAGTAGACTCGAAATTGACGAAGTGGAGCGCGCGCGCGCGCGCACGAGAGAGAGAGACAGAGAGCACCGAACAACCCAGGAAAAAAATAACTGATCAAATACATGTACAAAATCTGAAGAAGACAAAAAGGACAAAATAAAATAGAAAAAAACAATAAATAGTACGTAGTAAAAGACAACCGGTTAGCCATATTTTGGTTGTAATAAATCCAATGAATTGAATTCTTATATGTGTGTGTGCATGCAAGTTGAACACACACAGGATAGATAAAGAAACACACACACACAATACAGATGAATGAGATTTCAAGTTATATTTGGTTGGAGAGATAAAATGAGGATAATAATAATAGTGATAATAACGACAGCGCGCGGATATTTAAATCCTAAATACAAATCAGTAGTGTTTGTTTGTTGGTTTGACTCCTGACACATTTTAAAAAGAGATGGAGGATTTTATGAGAAGATCAGGAGAGAGTGAAAAATTTCAAGAACCCACCAAAAACCACATAGGGACACAGAAACAGACGCAGACACACACACACACACAAAACACATACAAGAAGATCAGTTGTCAAATGATTCTTGTTTCACCTATTTTTTTAATTACTGATTACAATTTATGCATATATATATGTAAGAAGAAGATGACTGTGACAGTTGTTTATCGGCAATCCCATATATGAATTGTTTGATCAACACTCCCTGTTACAGCGTACGGAGCCAAACGATTGATATCTGTGAATACAATACAAAAAAATTAATTGGTAATTTACAAGAATTATCAATAGAAAACAATAGCAGAAGAGTAATAATAATTTACACATAATGATTACTAAATCCTTGTATATTTCATATATATATCACGACACGCTTTTCGGATTATCTCCTTCAATTGTCCATGCATAATTAGGACAGTATGTGAATAGAAAGTTTGAGCATTACACGCAGTTTACGAAAAAGCTCAAACACAGTACTAATCGATGCTTCCTGAAACCACCTATGAAACATCCTTCTCATGACTGATTTTATCATAAAGATACTTCAATGAAGTAATGCCAACCACGCATAAGGTCTGGGGTTCGATCCTCGGTCGACGCATTCCTTACTCTCCTCTAGCTGGTAGTAGATCCAATGGAGAGGGAAGGTTGGGCGTGAGGTTTGCAGCCCCACCTCATAAAAGTGAAACCATCGCTAAAACAAACTTCAAAGCTTGAAGCCCTATGTTCCACTAAGAGAGTAATGAAAACCTGTGAAGCACTGTAAGTTTTGAATTCGGTAGAATGTAATTCCATATGCATTATTAACAACAACTGGATGACGTTTCGGGCATAAATTATTCCCACGCATAAACATATCAATTTTAGTCACACAGTTTAAAAATTTTTGTCGTATGTATTTCTTCTCTTTTTTTGTCTCTCGAACTCTTCTTTTCTGTTTGTTGCATCATTCCGATTGCACATGTGCGCAGTTGACTAGCTAAACAAAAATTCAGTGATTCACCTCACTCTCTCTATCTTCACTCAACTATATTCCTTTTTAATACTCTCACCCTGTCCCAAACTATTTTGTGATTACATGTATGTGAATGCAGTTCAACAGGTGAGTTCTATTTCCTACGTTACTTAACATGGCAGGGTCATTCATTCTAGGTCTAGTTAAGTTTTCATGTCGCAATAATCTAATTGACCCCGATATACTAATTTGACCTATGTAGTTGACCTCATAGACATTAGTAATTTGATTTCCAATCAATAGGTTGGTAAGTTTAAATCCCGACCCAACTACCAAAGTTTGAGCAGCCAGGTAGTTATCATCAGCCATAGGTGTGACTCACTGCTAACTGTATGGAAATGCATGTGGTTGTTGAGTAACATCAACATTGAGTTAATGCTTGAACAACTCTCAAGTTTTGGTTGGTCGACCTGAGTTTTAACTGATAACCTACTGGTTGATAGATGAGTATCTAGACTATAGAGTAAGCTACAGTTCTACAAAGCTATTTACCTCCCATTCATAGATCACATATGGATTAATTCCATCATAAATTTCATAAATTTGTGAATCACTCAATCAATCATTTATGTGAAAACAATCGTCACTAATCCAGTTCAATTTTAGCATACAATTGTTGAGTTGAATAAACAGGTTTAAATTAAACTCCTTTTTCAAGAGTGTTGATTTCAATATCACAAGACTTTTGTTAATAATTTTTATATATATGCTTAATTTAACACACTAGGTACAACATTGAAATGCCAAAAAGTCACACATAATATAACAATGCTAGCATATCTCAATCAAGAACTAGAAGAAAGAAAAAAAACGCACACACACAATATAACGATCACGAAAAGACACATGACCACCTCTATAGTATGATCATAAGAGGCACTAATTACTATTAACAGTAAAACGTAACCGGCATACTACAAGAAGATTACTATTGAATCTTACTCTTGAACTACATACAATTCAATAACACTTTGGAGTAATAAGTCTGAATATCTTTGTTGCGTAGTAGTAGTAGTAGTCATTTATGATGTATCCACAGGTTTGTAAGGACAAACGACTAGTTATCATTTCACACTGTAATATTGTAACAATAGAAGACTTGGAGACTTGGTGAAGGAATGTTTATTTGGAATTTGGTATTTCTATATGACGAAATTATGTACACCTTATCTTCAACGCACCATTTGCACAGATCTTTAGTGTTGTGCTACTTCTCGCCTTCCTTCATATTGTGTGTTTCTTTGTGTTCTTTTCACGTCTGTTATGTATCTACACAAAGCTATATCATTGGCTTTCTCTGACATCAAATCTATCTTCCCACTATTTGATGTCTTTTATGCCGATGAATATTGCTTAATATATACTTCTGATAAATCTTATCAGTACCATGCACCACAATATCACAAACTGAGCATTAATCCAGTAGAGCCTAACATCCACGATAATGACAACAAGATTCAACTCAAAAGAAGAAAGGTCACAATTATCCAATGCTACGCACAGTGGCATAGTGAACAAACACAAGGATGTAGACAAAGCAAAATGGATCCCTCCTGACGCACACACCACAAAGCAGATAGACTTCATCTCAATGTTGCTGAAGGAAGTGGAGATGCAGCCAGCCTGACGGACACAAAGTCGAGAAGGGGAGCAGATTTGGGTTCAGACCACCATCTAGTTCATGGGACCTTCAAGGTGAAGCTGGAATCCCTCAAAACAACTGGAAACAGACCACAATTCAAGTACAACATTCAGAAACCGAAAGAAAAAACCACAAGGGATACCTTTACTACAGATCAGATCACGGCAAAGACGGAGACACTAAATGGCATCAGTGAGGAAACCTGAGTGGCAGAACACTGGAACTAACTCTCTATAGGTGATGTTCAAGGAAACAATAACTTAGAAAAGGCCATCGACAGATAGCGTTGACCGAGAATTGATTTGGAAACTACTCCAACACTATGGCGTACCTCAAGTCTTTGTCCACCTCATTCAACAACTGGCTATATGACAATGCCTGTCACGTGTCAGGTGATCCACAACTGAAAACTCAGCGAGGCGTCCGAAGTGCACACAGGAGTAAGATAGAGCTGCCTATTACCATCAACGATGATATTCTTGATTGTGGTGAACTGGATAATACGTCAGACTGTTGGGGGCGAGTCAGGAATACGCTAGACGACCGATAAGAAGACTCTAGAAGATCTGGATTTCCCAGATGATATATGTTTAGTGTCACACAAACTCGAAGACTTTCAAGCGAAAACCAACAAACTGGCTGAAGTGGCAGGTGGCGAAAACAGGACTGCATGTGAACACAGAGAAGATCAAGGTGGTGAGGATAACAAACCAACAACAACGACAATAACCAGCAACAATCACCATCACAGGCAGACATTTTACAGAGGTTACCTCCTTCACTTATCTAGGCTGTAGGCATTGTTTCAACCACAGGCAGTCAAACAGCACGGATGAAGATGTCAAAGTCAGCTGGCCAGAATCAGAAGGACAAGATATGCCTTTATCAACCTGAAACCAGTTTGGAAATCTTCAGCACTCCACCTCAGCATAAAGAACGAGATTCGGATTTTCAAAGCCAATGTGAAGTCAGTCAGTCATTTCCTCTATATGGGTCAGAAACGTAGCGTGTCATCTAAAGGATTTTTTGAACATGTTACAGACTTTTATCAACAGCTGCCACCTTAGCTGACTGGTTCCATACTGAAAATCAAATGGCAATCAGGTCAGCCAAAAAGAATTAGCAACAAGAAACTCTGGCTGGAAACAAACCAACTAACAGCCGACTGTTCAACAAATATGTTGGAGAAAATGGGGATGGTTCTGTTATACACCGTGGAGGCCGTCAAATGCCATCGCGCGCCAGGCCATAGTTCGAGTGGAATCCAAATGGGAAGCGACGAGTGGGTTGTCAGTGCGAGGGTGACATGGAGGAGATCGTGTGGTGAGGAAGAGATGAGAGACTATGGGCAATCGTGGAACCAGCTGAAGAGGACGGCAGAAAACAGAAGAAAGTGGAGATGTGTTGTTGAAACCCTATGCTCCACTCGGAACCCAAGGGAACAATAACAATAATAATAATAAAAGCAAACGAAATATCAGAGAGCATGCAGAACTTTCGAAAAAGATTTGCATGAGACGAAATCCAGTATCTCCCAATTCATGAATAATACGTATCAATACCACTATCATAAGTAATTACGTGGTGCTGTCAAAAAAAGATCTATATTAGCTGGATATAGCGATCAGACATGTGTAACACAAGGAGATTTGTTCTTGAAGGTATGATCACACATTTTACACGAAGATTAATAATATGAATCTTTGAAAAATGTCCATTTAAGAAGTATGCCACTTTTGTATTTTGTATACAGACAGAAATTCTGAAAACAAGGCTCTCGCAGTGGGTAGGTGTGTGTATTGACAGAAACTGATCATTAAGTGTTCACATATACAGTTCGAGAAACCTTCATTCTGTTTTAGACTATTTCATCTAGATTTTGTGAATCTGATCACAGAAGCCGATTTATATGATGAAAGCCATTGTAAGATTGATTACCTTTCAAAAAATATGGTAAGGATTTCGCAACTTTAAATACATTTAAATGAACAGAAGAAGTTGAAAACATTTATTTCCCGATACGAATTTAAAACAAGCAGTAAAGGTTAATAAAGTTGGATTTAATGAATTCATCAAATTTCGGTAGAAATCGTCAGCTGAATACTCTATATACTCGGATATATATACTTTTGAAATAACATTGGGAGATATAAGACTGATAAGTGAATAAACTACATTGAATTAGTCATGCGGAAAGACAGGTGCGAGTTTCTTTCCAGGTCATGTCTAATAGATAAGGGGAAAGAGAGTATGGGAGATCAAAATGCATTGCACTTCAATTATATCACTTTCATAAATAATTAGTCATTAGGAAATATAACAAGAATTGCAAACAGAGTAATATCAGTAGTAGTTGTAAAAACAATAGTAATAATAGTGTTGAAGTAAGTTAAGATAATGCTACTGATAAAGGATAGTTTTAAATGAATCCAGAATAATAATACTAATAATAAGAGGTAGAATACTAAGTAAAACGTATTACCATGATAGACTCAGAGTCACGACCATCTCCTTTTGTACACAGAGACCTGGTTTATTAACTCGAGTTGCACAAGCCTCTGCAATTGCAAGCATCTTCTTG